GCCACAGTATATAAACAGAGCAAACCCCATCCCATTCTAGCACTGAAGATGTTACCTAGCCGGCTAATGAAATGTTTGCAAGAAAAGAATCAAGCTCAGAGAACCCCAAGGACTCCAGAGTTCCCAGTCTTCCACCCTGTTCTTCCAGTTTTACAGCTCATTAAGTATAGTCTTCCCTGACCTGGGGGCCTCCAATATGATTTGGCCCTACTTAGCATGACAAATTATCAGTGGAAGTTACAGGCTAAAACATCTGGAGCTGACAGGTGAGAGACAAAAGCTCGAGAAATAAAATTAAGGGTGAAGCTATATGGATGAAAGAGCTTCATTTTTTAAAGGCCGACATTTCCAGTGATAGATTAAGTACCACCAATGAATTTATAATGATGTTTGAGCTTCTTCAGATATTATTTGGAACTAAAATAAATTAATCAGAAGCTCAGTTTTTATTGGGGCTAAATTAATTTCTCTTATGCTTAGGACCATTAAAAGGTCCAAATCTCATCATCATCTTGATGATATCAGGAGCACAGTGAGTTTTGGTATTGTATATCCTATAGAGTTTTGATATTACATATTCTATTTGGTCAGCCTGGAGCTCCAGAGAGTCACTGAAGAAGCGGATTCTCTGGACTCCAGACAGGTTTCAGACCAGTATATACTCCTGAGACAGCTTTGGTCACACTTGTTGGCAGGCTTGGGATGGGGATAATGCATCCATCCGAGCCCTATTTATCTCTTGGTGGCATTCAATACTATTGACCATGGTATTCTTCTGGATTGGCTTAGGGGGTTGGGAGTGGGAGGCACTATTCTGTGGTGGTTCTCTTTCCTCTGGAGTCAGTCCCAGTTGGTATGTGGGGGGTGGGAGAGTAATCTAGTCCAGGACCCCTACTTTGTGGGATGGCTCAGGGCTTCACTTTCCTCCCTAATATCTTCATGAAGCTGCTGGAGAGGTTCATCCATTGGTGTGGATACTGTATCGTAAGTATGCTGATGATACTCAGTTGTATATCTCTGCCTCCGCCTGTCCAAGTGCAGCTGTCAGGGTTTTGTCCCACTGCCTGGAGGTTGTGGTATTCTAGATGGGGAAGAACAGTCATGACATTAGGTTCCACATAGGTTTACTATGTTTTAATAAAGTGCGTTATTGGTTGATTATGGTATTTACATTGTTTATACACTGCCCAGAGTCACATGGTTGAATTGAGCAGCATATTCATCCTTTAATAAATAAATATTTTCACTCCCTCCATGTCCCCATTATCTGTGTTAAAGTGCAGTACTAGTATTGTTAATGTATATTTTAAGTCCAAAAGGGCAATAATATTAATTGGATTCTTTACATTAACAGATAGTTGTTTATAACAAGATTGTGACTTTGTTGGACGATTAAAATTTATCCAGCTTTTTTCTGTATGTTCTTATTAAAAATACAAAAGCAAATTGTAATTTTAGTGTTAAAAAGTTGCTTCTCTTGTTTTTAGTTACAAAGGTTCCTATTTTTAAAATATAAAGCTATATGTCAGTTGTATACTTAATATTAAAATGCTTCTAAAATGACCCTAGGTTGCCATGAGAACTAGGTGGTGTTTCAAATACAGCCAGTTTTCTATCACTAGAATTTTGCCTGTTGATCAGGGATTCTGGGAATTTTTCCTTTTAACTAATAGGTTCTGTGGCCTGAAAAAGTTTTAAAATCCCATGTATGATATCACCTTGTATCTAATATCTGCTGCTTGCCCTTATTCTTTTTTTCTAGCCAGAGTTCTTACAAGAAGCCCATTTAGTTATGGCCAAATTAAATTATGTAGAAGGCGATTACAAAGAAGCTCTTAATACATATGCTAAAGTGGGAATTGATGACTTGCAGCTTGCTGCTGTACCTCCTTATCGCTTGAGGATGATTGCTGAAGCATATTCAACCAAAGGTAAGATGGCTTTCAGTGTAATTGTGACTTACTCTCCCTCTTTAAATACGTTTTTCATTTCTCACCACACTGAAACTTGATGGCAAGTGTGCTGTTGATTCTAAGACATATAGCAAGGAAAGGGATGCATTATTAGTAAAGATAAGGAGGCTAGCAAATTTGGTTTAAAAGCATACAGTAAAAAATACTTTTTAAATTTAACCTATATGCTCTGTACTTATTCAAAATACACTTACAGTTGGTTCTATGCAGATGGTTTGCTTCTGTGACAAGTGTTATATTAGAATCACAGATTATGATAAAATCATTCCCTTCACATGAACTATACAGTTTGCTTTCTCTGCTGTCTTTATTTGGCCAAAAATGTGAGCTGTTGTAACAACAGGAAGGTTGCCTGGCTATGGAGACATCATTCCTCCCATATTTAAACTCATGTTTGTTAAACTGGTTAGCATCTGACTAGAAAGATTAAGGTTGGGTTTATTATGTATATTGTGACCTGAAAAAGAGGATGGGGAATCAACTCTTCATTTGTGAAACCTTTTAGTAGGAGTGGCTTTGAACTCTACCAAAAAACTCCAAATTTAGGAGCCACTTGAGACTTCCGGGAGAGGCATGGCAAACTAAACACGTCTCTAAAAGAGTGGAGACAATGACCATGACAAAGCCCGAAGAACTGGCAAGTAGACCAGTACTTTGGAAACTCTCCAGACAAAGAGAGGATGGGAGATCACCCACATATGCTCCAGATGGCTGTTCTTCGCTAGGAGACTGCAGGACAGTGGTCTCGCATGAGTTTGAGTGCCGGGAGACGAAGGAATTAGCCATCATGCTCACAATCATGGCAGAACCTTTTAAAGGACACTGAATTTTCTGCCCTCAGTTTCTAATCACTTTCAGAAATTGCTTATTTACTATTCTATTAGAGATCTTCGGAATGACAAGTTTGAAAAGTCACCTGGTGAGTTTACTCTCCTTCTTGAACAAAAGAAAAATTATAAATTTAAGAATTTAAAGAATTGGAAATAAACGGCAAAAAGCTAAGTAAGATTTTGATCTAAGAATGTTATAAACAAATCAAGGGTCCAGACAAATTTGGAACATTGAGACTTTTACTATAAGATTTTGGAAATAACTAAATAAAAGAAACAGCACTTTGTGGGAACCAGATTGTTTTGTCTATTTTAGGTCACAACAGAAATTTGAGACTTTATGATTTTAGAAATTGGACACTAGAGGGATTAAGGTGGAAAAGGGAAAGGAAAAAAAAGCTAAACTTGTCTTTGGTTTTCGGTTAGTACGGGGATTTACAAAATGACACAAAATGCTATAACATTTGAAATACTTCAGGAGATTTTTGAAGAATGGGGCCAAACATTAGTAGCTACAATATCAGAAATGTCAGTAATGATGTCTGCTTCTGTGGATAGACTATGTCCAAAAGATGTTAAACCTGATGCAGAAATACTAGACCTGGAAATACTAGTTAATAACAAAAGTGTGGATTATAAGATAGAGAAGCAGTTAAAGTGGAATTACAAATGACAAGCCAAGAAAATGACCCTGTTAAGGATTTTTTATTGGATATACCAAAAGAAGCTGGTTAAAATTTTGAAAATCAAAGTGGAAATAAAAATGACAAAGCAGGAGAATGACCTGGATAATGACTTTTCACTGGATTTACAAAAGAGGTTTGTTAAAGCCTTGAAGAAGCCTCTGATGGGAAAAAGAAAAATTGAAGAGAGACCAAGTCCTACAACAACATCTGAATGGATTAAAGATCATTTTTATAAAGCTGTGGTAACCCTTTACAGACTTTTTGCTGACAATAGGACTGAAAAGTTGATGATTTATGGATTTGCATATGTATAAGGGATGGGTTAAGAGCCAGTTTGGTGTAGTGGTTAAGGCATCAGGCTAGAAACCGGGAGACCATGAGTTCTAGTCCCGCCTTAGGCACAAAGCCAGCTACTGACCTTCGGCCAGTCACTTTCTCTCAGCTCTAGGAAGGAGGCAATGGAAAACCAGTTCTGAAAAAACCTTGCCAAGAAAACTGCAGAGACTTGTCCAGGCAGTCTCCAAGAATCAGACATGATTGAACCTGGGGGGTGGGGTTGTAGGAGGGATGAGTTATGGGAAGAAGAGATATTTGTAACCTTATAGGGGGTGAAGAATGATCAAATTTGATTTTGCTTGTGATGAAGATGGAAATCACTTCTTTACATATTTGTTTACTTTATCTTTCTTTTTCTTTTTCTTTCTTTGCAATTTTTATTCTTTCTATTTCTTCTTAATTTAGTTTGTATTTGCTTTTACAGGTAGTCCCCGGGCTAAGAACGCTCAGTTTAAGGAAGACGCATAGTTAAGAATGGAGCCTATTGTAGCAAAATTTGAATTAAATACATAATGATTCGAGTTAATTACACAGTGGTTCAAGTTAATTATGCAATACTACTTATACAGTATTATACAATAATACTGTTCTGGCTTATATGCACATTTGACTTAAGGACAAACCTTGGGAATGGAACTTGTTCTTAAACTGGGGACTACCTGTACTATTGTAATTAAAATCTTTAATAAAAATTATAAAAAGAAAAAAAAAGAAAGAAAAGTCCAAGTTTAGACAACAGGAGATAGGGAGAGGCAAGAATTCTCACAAATGAGAAAATAGCTTTTCCAAAGCCTTGCAGAGCTCTGGTGTCTCATCCTTGTGAATGGAATTTTTATGACTCCTCTTGTATTGCAACCAAGCTAGAAGTAAGTTGGCGTGTTACCTAACACGTACTGATGCGGAAACTCTGTGGTCTGGAGCTGTTTTCAGAGAATCTTTATGTGGAAGTATTCTTATTGAATTGTTAGATAAAGTTTTTATTTCAGAATATTTTAGTGATATCCTGGAACTTTCCCACTGATATGTATTTGAATACTATGGAAATAAAAAGAATAACCCCACTTACATGTTCCTTAATTACTAGTTTATATAGTATTACATCTCAGCAGTTGACAGTACCTGGCATACCTTTTCCAGACTCAAAAGATAAGTAAATAGACATCTGAAAATTCCAGGGCTGTAGGCTAGATTGGGAAGTTGGAAAAAAATCTTGGAAGAACACAATGGCAAAAACTTCCATGGTGTTACTAAAAAATCTACATGAATGAGCTTGACTCAGAAGAAACTTTACAATAACAATTGGTTTTCAGTTGCATATTTGAGGCTGTTATTTATACTTTAGTTAGCTCCTGAAATAGACATGGATGGATTGCTCACAGGAGTAGATCTGATCAAATTTTCATACCCAGGTCTCCAGCAAAAATACTCAAAGAAAGATGACTCTTCTATACTTAATACATTTCTTTGGGCATTTTCAAGAGGTGACATTAGATAATGTAGTTTTGGAATATTGCAGTATTTCTCTTTCCAAATGTTTGTTTCTGCTTTCCTATGGATGTACTTTATTAATATGAACAAAATCTACAAGATAAACAAGGACAAATACTAGTTTTGGTCAGTTCCATGTTATTTGTGAAAGTGTGCGAAGCTTGTATTGTTTCTGTAGGTGGCAGTGTTGATTAAGGGTCAATATGTATTCTTTGTACTCTGTATGCATTAAACAAAGCTGGGTCAATGTTCTGAGAATGCAGCAGTTTATACTCATCAGGATATAAAATACTTTACACTTGAAAGTTTTTACTGACAATTGGCATAGTTGATGCTTGCAATGATGACGATATCTAGAAAGAACAGTTATGTGGCTTATTCTACTATATACAGAAGTTATAACTTCCAGAAGTTATGAGCACTGCAGAAAAGTGTACAGTTTAAATGCTAGGCATATCATGGTGATGATAGTTTGAGTATACAGGTGGAGAATAAAATTATTTTCCTTTAAAAAAAAACAACTCTCTGATTAGAAATTCATAATAAGATTCTTTTTTTCAAAATACTCATTTAGCTTAGATAAAAAGAATGGATAGATTCATTCTTCCAGCCAAATTTAGAATGGATAGATTAAATCTACCAGCCAAGTTTAAAAAAGTAACTGCGACCCATTTCCCTAATACAGTTAAGGTTTAGACCAGGGGTCCTCAAACTCGTTAAACAGGGGGCCAGTTCATGGTCCCTCAGAATGTTGGGGGCCGGGACTATATTTTGAGGAGGGGAGGAGAGCCGCTGGACCCGGCATACCTGTCATG